CCCGATCACTGAAGGCATCGCCCTGACTGAGGAGACCCTTTATGAGGATGTCGAAGCAGATGTGGATACCGCTCCGGAGGGCGCTGAGGAAGGAGAGGGCGAGGCGGACAGTCTGATACCTGTGGATATTAACTTACAGCTCATGACTCCCAGCACTCCGCTGAAGGCCTTCCTGCGAGCCAGATTGGAGAGGCTGATCAAGTCGCCGCCGGCGGCCTCTAGTGCGGGTCAGGCCTCCATAGTAGCTGTCTGGCTGATCGAACTACTGCTCGGTGAAATCGGTCTGTTGGAGGATCGTTGTTCAAAGGCAAATGCACCCGCCGTCCACCGAGAGGAGTTGCTGGATGTTCGAAAGGAGTTTCGCCAACTTATCACCTCTGATCTCGTGAAGGTAAGTCCTTGTTCGGGCAGAAGCCACCTAGTTTAGAACCGCTCAATGTAACTATATGCTTAAGTGAATTCCATTGAAACAGGAACATTTTGGAGCTATCTACAGTCTGCTGAATCCTGTTATGCTCCATCCGCGTTTGTTCGCCTAGGTAGTTTAACACGACGGCACAGCCTTAGATACCACATAAAGCCGGCAATCTCTTTCACGGAATTTCTTTTTCGAACAGCTAGTTCGACCGAGAGACTTACAGTAGATATGCTATCTCTAGAACTGTTAACCGAAATCCTTAAATGCATTTTCGAGTTTAAAGGCTTACGCGAGTGGATTTATGTTATGAATTATGAAGCAACTTAATCGCTATATATTTCATTCACGACAGGGTGATGACCTTTTAATGGCGTTCATTGGGGTCGCCTGCAATAACTGCAGTCCGTAAAAAAGGACTACTTATGTACCATGATTTTTTTCACATTGATTTTCGGTGTTCGTAGAAATTGAAGTATGTTTTATAGAAACTATGCACGCAAGAATTTTTTTTCTTTTTGAGTAAATTTAGTGGAGAAGTACGTCTTCTAATTTCTTCTTTAAAAAGGGCCTCTTTAACTTGAAAATACATTTTCAATCCCCGCATAATTTGAACCTAGCCTGCTTGCATTCAGGGCTTCCAAAATGTCAATCTTTCCGAGCAAAAAAATCATACGTTTCTGTAGGCTACTAAAATGACATCACGTAGGGCTCTTAAATAAGTGCAGTAAATATGGAACACACTGTAAATTTTACAAGCAGTATCAATACGTGAACAGATTGGTTTCTTTACAGAGGTATCAAAAATCACGTAATTAGAAGCTTTGTTAAAACCAAGAAAAACCCTTTCACCGAGCATAAATTTAGACGCAAACATAATTGAGTACAAAGAAGAAAATTTTATGCATACCTACCATGAAAATGCGTTTGCACTTCTACGAGAATTGAAGATCTGTGTGCAAAATTCCTGCTACTTAAGCAGCCATTTTTATGGGGTGTAGGTTTTGTAGGTCACCGACAGGAAGCTTCCAGAAACCGGCATCCCGTTGTGACCGAAAGATCTTGAGATTATTTTGTCCGATAATTAATATTACAACCTTACTTAAGTAATCTTTTCAAATCGAGAGAAAATGTAATAGGGACGTGAACGGCCCTGCACTCAGAGCCTACGGCCTGGAGTCATGCGCGCAGGCAAACAGCGACTGCTAACAACTGTTCACACAGCGTGAGGAACTATCGATCACAGGGCATACGTAACTACCGCTCACACAGCGTGGCAAACTATCGATCAGCGGTAGGCCAGAGCAACGTCCTATTGGCCAGGAGTCTTCTAGAATGACCAGAGCCTTATAAATAGGCTGTAGTGGAAAATCTAAGGATTCCGTTGTATCTGTACCGTCCTGAATGTAGACTTGCTATCAGAACCGGCTTTGCCTCCTTCTGTTTATGAAACGGGGCCATAGCAGAAAAAAACCTTTAGGATTTCGTTCAACATTTTTTGAAATAGCACATCCCCTGTAAAACAGGTGACATGGAACTAACTAAAATTCTGAGATGTTTCCGGTTAGAAGAAACGAATTAGTTAGCATTGTCATCTTAACTATTGCATACAGTGATCCTAAGATATTTTTGTCACGTCAAAATGTCAGCTTTTAAATGTGTGCCTTTCACTATTTGCTGCCAGAGCCCTCGTTACCAGTGAATACTTACTTAGTATAAGCTTTCCCATGGATTTTCGATGCCTTGTTACATTCAAGCATATTTCCGGGAACGTATGCGTCAAATTATTCCTTTACTTACCCGTTCCGTGGTAAATGGCGTCTTCTGCAAATTTTCCACTCGAGGAGAAGGCGCCTTTCAGCCTCGAGAAAGTTAGCAGTTGTGTGCTTTTTCAAAATCGTCCATGCAACTGATCGTTTATTACTGCTTCTTATGAAGTATGTAGTATGGTTCATTTCCTTTGCAAAATGCCATAAGTCCATAAGTGGCATTTTCTTAATGCCTCAGAGGAATGTATACTTCCTCTTAAATGGAATGTGTACAAACTCTTGTAAGGAACCCTTAAACGAAAGCGCAAAAATAATGCGAGTTCAACATTATTCGGGTGTTAGTAACCTTTTGAATCCCAAGGATGCCGTTGCTTCAAGTAATCCTTTCTAACCGAGATCACGTTCTAGCGTGTCAGTCAACTGTAGCTTAGTCTGTTTTTACTCATAATTTCAAGCAAATGCTTTCCGGTGTACGAATATTTTAACACTCCTGCTGAGCTGTGGTTTATTTGAGTGGTATAGCATGAAGTGCGTCAAGGTCACGTAGGAATGACCTTCAGTCGCCTGTCCTGATTGAAATTTGAAGAACTAGCCAATCCGTTTTACATTTGAACTCCGAGCCAACAGTTGCATATCGAAAAGCAGTCAAAAATTAGAGAGCACCTATTCTGTTACTGCTATTGTCTCTGAAAATAAACTGCTGTACGAGTTTGAAAGCTCAGAACAATAAACAAACTATTCCGATACTCGACCAGCCTTCTCCTTTACTCTGACCGTTTTTACATTGGGGGAAAGTAAATTTTTCCTCGAAAAACTATTCATGTTAACGAGGTGGCACAGCTGTAGTAGACACCAGTTAGTTTCATTGGAACTTGAACGTCCCATCGATGCGGTTCATGACGATTGAAAATATAAATGTCCTTAAGACGTCTCAGTTATCTTGCAGGTCAAGTATCATACTTCTTCAAACCATTTGAAAGCGCGCCGGCGTCATTGATGAGTTCCTCAGTTTATCTGTATATTTCAACAATTAAAAAACGGATATCCCTCGCTCGTTTCACTGACTTCTTTTGACATAGCTTTTTTTGAACAAGGCGAAGATCACGAGTTGGGCAGAACTGCTCAACTCGTGATCTTCGCCTTGTTCAAATTCCTTCCGAGAAAACAATGTTTCAATTGCTTTTTTATAAATATTTTCCGTCATAAAATAAAAACGTACTCTCCATCACCTGCAAAACAGGTTTTGCTCTTATGCGCTTTCTTTATTTTCTCTTTAGAGTATCATGCCGTCCCTGAAAAGTCTAATCTACCAACTCCTGACAAGTCACGGAAATCACGAAGACTTCGTATTCTTTGCTAAGACGGTTGGAGGTTCGTATCTTTAGTCCCTTTTGACTCACCTACCCCAACCTACGCAAAAAAGTTTGACCCACGCACGCCCCTGTCGTTTCGGTGGCAAAATGACCGATAGTGGGCCCGGGCGCGTTGCTGACAAACCTGAACAGTCTGCCCATGCGTGACCTACACGACTTTGTCCTTCTTCCTTATGTAGCTAGCTACAATAAGTGTGTTATGACCCGCGCCTGGTACCTGTAATTAGCATGAACAGTGATATGGCCCGACCGCGGCACCCAAGGCCCAGTACGAGAGAAGCAAGAGAATACCAGCGACCGCGAGCAGCGTGTATTCGCACAAAACAAGTCATTGTCACGCAGAGGCTACGCGTATTAATGGTCCGCGTCCAGACACTGTCCAATCGGACATGGACCAATCATAATTGAGGAGACATCGCTAGCCAGGCGGTGGGGTAGCTGGCGACCGCCTTTGTGTGTACTGACTCATCATGGGAAAGTGCGAATTGGATCTCACGTCATCAGGGCAGCACTAGGAGAGTGTCATCATAGTTTGATCGTTTCAATGGATAGAGAGGACAAGTTGCGCCGTCAATTGACAGTCTTTTAGGCCACGACTGCTGGCGTCTTTTGTGTAGATTTAAACGAGCCAGATGTGTGCTCTCGAT